AACCGTATACCAGACTCGAGTTGAACTCACGGGCGAGAGCCTGAAGCTTGGTGTGTCGGAAGACATGCTGGGGCGTATCTTTGATGGCTCCGGGCGAGCAATCGACAAGGGTCCCAAGGTGCTCGCCGAGCAGTTCCTGGACATCAACGGCAGCCCCATCAACCCCTATTCTCGAGTAGGCCTTCATATCGCTTGACTCTAGACGGGGACTAGCTAACAAGAAGCAGGTGTACCCTGAAGAGATGATTTCGACCGGTATCTCTTCTATCGATACGATGAACTCCATCGCCCGTGGACAGAAGATTCCCATTTTCTCTGCCGCCGGTCTGCCGCACAACGAAATCGCAGCTCAGATTTGCCGACAGGCCGGTCTGGTCCAGCGCGAGGGTGTTACCAATAAGGGCGTTCACGACGGCCACGAAGAGAACTTCTCGATCGTCTTTGCCGCCATGGGTGTCAACTTGGAGACCGCCCGATTCTTCACGCGCGATTTCGAGGAGAACGGCAGTTTGGAGCGCACAACTCTCTTCCTCAACCTCGCCAACGACCCAACGTAAGACCTTTAGGGACTCTTGAGGCATTAGATTACTGACAGGACGGACAGCATCGAGCGTATCATCACACCCCGTCTTGCCCTTACCACTGCCGAATACTACGCCTATCAACTCGAGAAGCACGTCCTGGTTATTCTCACTGATCTTTCGGCTTATTGCGATGCCCTTCGTGAAGTATCGGCCGCGCGCGAAGAAGTCCCTGGTCGTCGTGGTTTCCCCGGTTACATGTACACGGATTTGTCGACCATCTACGAGCGAGCTGGTCGTGTCCAGGGCCGCAACGGTTCGATCACGCAAATCCCGATTCTCACCATGCCCAATGACGATATCACGCATCCCATTCCCGATTTGACGGGGTACATCACGGAGGGCCAGATCACCGTTGACAGAGGTCTGCACAACCGCGGTATCTACCCCCCAATCAACGTGCTGCCGTCGCTTTCGCGTTTGATGAAGTCGGCTATCGGTGAGGGTATGACTCGCAAGGACCATGGCGATGTTTCCAACCAGCTGTACGCAAAGTACGCAATTGGCCGTGACGCGGCGGCGATGAAGGCTGTCGTCGGTGAAGAGGCGTTGTCGGCTGAGGACAAGCTGTCGCTCGAGTTCCTTGACAAGTTTGAGCGTCAATTCATCGCCCAGGGGCCATATGAGTCGCGGACCATTTACGAGTCCCTCGATCTGGCGTGGAGCCTGTTGCGTATTTATCGCAAGGACATGCTCAACCGCATCCCGGCCAAGATCATCAACGAGTACTACCAGAGAACCTCGGCGGATCGAAAGGGCAAAGGCAAGGCGCCGACCAAGGACACGCGGGACACGGCGGCGCCCGAGGAGGAGAACCTTATTGAGACGTAATTTGGAGGCGCTCCCAGTTCCCGGGAGGCGGGTGTTCGTTAAGACTCTAGGTTCTTGTTTATTCATGGAGCCTACACTGCATTCTGTATGGGGCACGCGCGACGCTTGTATTTGATAGGCTTGGGGTCGTGGCTGTGGAAACTGTAGATTGGAATTCCCAGTGCTATGCAATATCGTTTTGACCAATATTTTGCTCTATTCTCAATAGTCGTTTCGGCCGCGAGTATCGGTGTCATTGGCGCGGATAGCGGCTCTTGTTTTATGCAGGCGAGGTGCGGTGTTAAGCCGTCAACGCGGGTCGGCAGCGAAGACACGTCCTGGCACTTGAGAACGGGCGTTGGGATCTCGCCTGTTGCCGCTGATAAATGTTTATCCGCAAGGTACAGATTAAAAACAAACTGATGGCGTTCGGGAAAATAAAACCTCTTCGATGGTGCGCCTCATGAACTGGCACTGACTGTTGACAATTCACAAGCAAGAAGTAGCCATGGGCCTGTATATGCCCAGCATCATAAAGTACAGGATAAAGTCGAGTGCAGTTGCAGGGAAGCTAAAGGTTAGTGGCGAGACCCTACGGAAGAATAGAGACCGACGATATCCAATGGATCTAACTTGTATCCTACCTTCAGGTAGAGTGGACAGCAGGCCGAAAATGACAAAGTTGGATATAAGTTCCGATGGCGACGGCTGGGCCAAAGAAGGGAGAGCTCCGGGATACGTTGGGATTTTTAGCAGACATTACCTTGTTTTGAAGCATACCTAGCTATACACTGCAAGTATGTCAGAGGCGAGAGATAGGTATCTGGCACTGGACGGAATACCTCACCTGTGGCAGGCATTGGTGGGTTTATTCGCCCTTTGCTGCAGGGTCTTGTAATCTTACTGCTCTTGTCATATTCTTGCTGCTGCCCATCTTCGACGCCCACCTTCATCCCGTTCTTGTGGTATCATTGAGAGGTTAGAGTCTGGTACACTCAAGGCCACGATGAATGACCTGATGCTTCCATCCCATGGAGCCAACACACCTCTTCTTCTGCAGTCATCCGTCTCCTGGGCACATCACAAGACTCTCACAGAACAGGTTCGTAAAAACTCCCTCACCCGCTCTCCGGTCGACAGCCGTCCGTGGCTCTGTTTAACCACACCGTCTTGGCGGTAGTTCAAGCTTCGCTGCGGGCAGGGGTTGTCATGCGGGGCTGGCGGTTGCGAACCCCGCAGCTCTCCAAAACGCAAGCCACTGCCGCGCCAATGGGCAACCTCGCGTCTGCTGCGACGTCATTTCTCGCGATACATTTCTCCGGCCGGCCCGTCTTGCGTCGTAATAAATTTCGCCGGGGTGGGTGAGGACCGGTGCGGCATTGGGTAAGTTTGAGGGTTTCTTACGTTTTCTCTGGGGTAAGAGAGGGGGTTGGTTGGTGAGGAGGATGAGGGCACGTTACACTGCGGAGAGAGGTGAGGCGGTGAGTTTGTGAGAGCTCGGTTGATGTTGAGGTTGGTGATGGAGGCGGAAACAAACCGGGGAGACGAGGAGGAGCGGAGAGCTACCTGCCTTAAGAGGATCGAGATCGGGGGTTTCATTTGCTGGGGACGTTGCAGCGAGGGCGACGTCGATGGCTGCTAACTCGGGTCGTCACACAGCAACGTGCACCCGGAAGAAATTTGCCTACATCTTCTCCCCATGCTTGCGAGCCACGCGAGGGTCGAGGACGCGGAATATACGCGGAGGGCTGCCAGGAGTACAGCCGTCGATCTCAACCCCAAACCCAAACCCAAACCCATCCATTGAACGGGAGAGTGGAGCTCCATCACATTCACTTGTACCGCCCCGTCGGACCGTGATACAACCTCTATACCGCAACCCAGCTCCCACCAGTCACGGTTTATTGCGGTTCAGCTTGTTCCTGCAGATGGGTTGATGAACGTTTGTCTGGGATTGTTATTAACCCGTCCCTCCCTCCCTCTCCTCCTGCTGAGTCCCCGCTTCACCCTCTCGGCGCGTCCTCGTCTCGTCTTGTCTCTTCTGGCGGTCGGGCAGTCACTCGTTCGGTTTGGTACTCTGCCTGCTTCCACCACCAGAAGTTAGATTATCGCCACCAACGTGAAGATGCGCTTCTCGCTGCTCGCCTCCGCGGCGCTCTTCCTGGGCGTGCGCGCGGCCGCTGTTGCCCCCGCGCCGATCAAGGCCGCTGTCCCGAGCCCCGATGCGAACGGCAAGTACTGGATCCACGCCGAGGGCATCTCGGCTGCCTTCGTTCCCTACGGCGCCTCGCTCTCGGATCTCTGGATCAAGGACAAGAATGGCATCGTGCGGGACATCGTGACGGGCTTCGACAACGCCAGCTATTACACCGTCGATACGCAACACCCACACTTTGGAGGCGTCGTCGGCCGGTACGCCAACCGCATTAAGAACAGCTCGTTCGAGATCGACGGCGTCAAGTATAAAGTCCGCCCCAACGACAACAAGACCCCAGAGCATCCCGAGGGCCTGAACACCCTCCACGGTGGTCCCGACGGCTGGGACTGGCGCAACTTTACCGTTGCTTCCTACACCAACACCAGTATCACCTTCTCCATCGTTGACCCTGACGGAAAGGAGGGTTTCCCTGGGGAAGTCATTTCCTACATCACATATACCGTCAGTAAGATGCAGTGGGACTTCAAGATGGTAGCCATTGCCACGACCAAGAAGACCCCAATCATGCTCAGCAACCATGCTTACTGGAATCTCGACGGCTTCGCCAACACCGAGACCCGCCTTGCGCTCAACCACACCTTTTGGCTCCCATATTCTGGCTCCCGCGTCGACGTCGACAACATTCTCATCCCCACTGGCGATATCATTGCCAACCGCAAGGGCTCGCCGAACGATTTCTGGAGCGCCCCGAAGCAAATCGGCCACAGCTTCAACGATCCCGAGCTGGTGAACAACTGCGGTTACAACTGCACGGGCTACGGTAAGCACTGTCGCTTTTCCCCCGTTCTTTTCCCTGCTCTGACGTCTCTCAGACAACTGCTACCTCGTCGACCGCCCGACCCCTTTCAACTGGCGCAAAGACGGGCCTGTCGCGCGCCTGCAATCGGCCTGGTCCGGCATCCAGCTGGATATCTACTCGGACCAGGAGGCGTTCCAGATGTACTCGTGCAACTTCCAGGACGACACCATGGCCATTAAGAAGTCGCAGGGCATCTTTGACAACGCCAAGTTCCCGCGCACCATCCCCAAGTACGGGTGCTTCGTGCTCGAGGTCCAGGACTGGATCGATGCGATCAACCAGCCGCAGTGGGGACGGCAGGACAAGCACATCTTTGGTCCGGGCGGGGATCCGTATGTGCTGCAGGCGAGCTACCGATTCAGCATCAACAGCACGGCCACGCCTGCGTAGGGGTGTGCGTGGCGAGTTGGTGTTGGTTGTTAGTCGAGCAATACCAGTAATAGTTACTAAATAATAATGGATTTCGCAGATTGAGAATGGTTCCGGGACATGTTGCGATGGAGTGTCTGTGTGCGTAAAGTCGAAAAGGCGAAAGGCGTCGCCTTACTCGCGCTGCAAAATGAGGTGAGGCACAACAGCAAAAAAATCGCTTTGACGAGAGTGGGATTCGAACCCACGCCCTTTCAGACTACGGAGCAGGATGTTTTGAAGAATCCTAAACGTAGCGCCTTAGACCGCTCGGCCATCTCGCCTGGTGATTGGTGTGTTGGACAGGTATTGCTGATCTTGGAGGGTGGCAACTTGTTGCAAAAGAAAACGACACTGCGTACCAGGAACTACTTCACCACACTAGTTATTTTCTATTGGCCAACAAGTACCGTTTTGTACCATCACATTACCAGCCGGTCATCTGGCCCTCAGCTGCTAACACATCCTTCATTCGCACTACCATGGAATCCACCAGCCGATTAATTTTTGACTGTTCTATTCGCTTCCAACCAGCCAGAATAAGGTCTTTTAATCCAGGGCCCGAAAGGCTTCTATTTGCGCGAATAAACTGCTTAACTGCGCCCCAGCAATTCTCAATAGGCGAGAGGTCTGGCGAGCCAGGCGTGTTGAAGAAATGCTTCAAATGATGCTCTTCTTTCCAGGCCTGCAGACAGTTAGCTGGGCTCAATCAGGCTTCACAGTAACAAACCTTCACAATATTATCCTTTTTCTGCCCAGTTCCGTGTCCAGAATCGCCATCTTCTTCCAAAACGAACTGCTCGCCTGCGTCAAGCCAAGGCTTGATCATTCCTTCTAAGATCTCGTCACGATAGATCTGAAGGTTCATTTTTCCGTTTGTGTTTGTTGGTACTTGATAGAAATGTAATTCTGACTTAAAATTCCAGCTAACAGCAGCCCAAACGTGGTATCTTTCGACAGGAGGGTCGTTTTCGTCCTCTGGAGGGTGATAGACGCAATCAGGGCAGAATCTTTCGCCTGGTTTCCGGATGATCCGGATCTTGCCGCTTCGAAGGATACAGAAATGGCATTCATCAGTCCATCGAATATCATGCCAATCCTCAGGATTCGGACGGTACATAAGCGCAAGGTGAGCGGCTTTTACTCTTCGAGCAGCATTAGTAGGGGAAACCCAGCCCTTTTCACATGTAATACATTTCCTATAACCCAAGGTCCCCATTGCCTTCTGAATAGTTCGATCGCTGGCGTGGATGTTTGCCTCGTTGGCTAGCGCTTTCCAGCTCAATTGACGGGCAGAAAACCCATACTGCCAGATAATTCTTTCCATTCTCAGTATATCATCGAGTGATATAACGGGCTTCCTTCCCCTTGTCTCAATCGTTGGATGCCGTCGGTCAAAAGAATCGCCATCGTGTAGGATTTGCCAGCCTCTACGTGGTAGGATATGGAACTCGCGAAATAGGTCGGCTTTGTAGTGGGGGATGTGGTGTTCTCGGAGGAAGGACTCGGCGCCCAGAAGCCTGCACTTTACTGGCGTAGGGTAATGAGGGCCCATTGCTCTGGCTGTAGAATTGGAAGAAGGTTGCCCTGAAGGTTGGAAAAAGAAGCCGTGGAAGTGGTGTGAATGGTGGTGGTGTGAGCCGAAGGCTGTGGAACTGTTGCAAAATTGGTAGGCGTTGTTAGTGCGAAGCCACTGGGCACGGTCCTCTTTTTTCGCAGTGTCGTTTTCTGCAACAAGTTGGGTGGGTGGTGATCCTGAGGGGCTGGTAGCTTTGTGGTGCGGAGTCGAAGAGTGGGGGTAATGCATGCAGTGGCTCGGAGTGGGCCGTAAATCAGCGTGGCCCCACCAAAACTTAGTGAGCCACAGTCCAATTAGCCGTACCGCTGGGTTGGAATACGCCAAAAAATAATTCTGAGATGCATTCTCAACTTGAACTCAAGCCATCGACGGGCTCACAAACTACTTCGGTCAAGGTGAAAGTGGGCACCCTGCTCGGGAATTTGACGCCGCAAATATAATCTTCAATGCCTTCCGAGAAAACCCATACCGCTTATTTTATTTATTTAATGCCTTCAGACTGTACAAAATGACGCGGCCGAGCCTTCGACAAGGCATCGACCAGACTGTCTACGGCCTCATATTGAAGCTCGAGGAGGAGCAAGAGGACAAAAAAGGCCTAAAAAATAAGCGATTATCCGTTTCTTCGGTCTACGAAGCCATCAAAAAAAGCAACTCAAGCCTTGCCAGGCAGAAAAAAAAGCCTTTGGAGGACTCGATTGAGAGGTGTTTGGAAGTCCGGAAGGCCGAGGCAAAAGCTGACGAGGGCATTGATTCCGACGATTTACTGGAGGCCGAGGAGCTCAGGAGGGCTAAGGAACAGGACTCGAGGGCCTCTCGTGACGCTTCCCTCCTCAATCGGCAAATCGCAAAGGCATGGGGATTCAGCACAAAGGCCCCTCCAGCATCTTCATCAGGCGACCAGGACATGGCTGCAGGCATACCAACAGACGGCACCGCGCCTGTAGTGGGCGCGGCGAACGGCTCCCAGACGCCTGTATCAGACAGGCTACAGACCGGTGAAGGGGGCCGACTTCCAAATGGCGAGGCCCGGCTCAAGAAGAGGAAAGGCGACAGGACGCCCCGGCCCGAGGTCGATCGCACGCCTTCGACAAATGTCAGCATCCGTGACGTTGCCGGCGTTGACGACGCACTAAGGAGGCTCCTTCACGAGGTATGGTTTCCGCTGTGCGCTGGAGAGGCATGCGAGAAGATGGGGTACCGCTACGACAACGGCGTTCTCCTTCACGGACCATCCGGCTGCGGAAAGACGACCCTGGCACATGCTGTTGCGGGGAGTATAGGCGCCGCTTTCATCCCCGTCTCAGCAACATCGGTGGTCAGCGGCACGTCTGGCGAGTCGGAGAAGAACATCAGGGATCTCTTCGACGAGGCCATCCGTGTTGCGCCATGCCTTCTTTTTATCGACGAGATCGACGCCATCGCTGGCAAGCGCGAGAGCGCGAACAAGGGGATGGAGAGCCGTATCGTCTCTGAGATCATGAACGGCATGGATCGCATCAAGCAGAACACGGCCCTGGGCAAAAATGTTGTCGTCCTGGCAGCGACGAACCGGCCCGAGGCCCTCGACCAGTCCATCAGGCGGCGATTCGGCACCGAGATCGACATGGGCATGCCCAACGAGGCCGCCCGGGAACAGATCCTCAAGTCTCTATCTCGAGACTTGAGCCTTGCCGACGATGTCAACTTCAAGGAGCTCGCCAAGCTTACCCCAGGCTATGTAGGCAGCGATCTCCAGTACGTTGTCAAAGCTGCCGTCTCCGAGTCTTTCCGCGGCAGCCTTGACTCCCTTCTTGACAAAGCCGCATCCCTCCGCGACCCATCCGAGCTTGTCGAAGCGTCCCCTGCCCAGCGCGAATGGCTCCTCCTCGAGGACCACCGCCAGGCCTCCTGGGGCGAGAGCCAAATCACCGCCAACCAGTTCAAAACCGCCATCTCACGCGTCCAGCCGGCCTCCAAACGCGAAGGCTTCAGCACCATCCCTGACACTAACTGGTCAAATGTCGGCGCGCTCTCCGACGTACGCAAGAAGCTCGAAATGTCCATCATCGGCCCCATCAAGGAGCCCGAGCTCTTCACCAAGGTCGGCATCAAACCCGCCGCCGGCATCCTGCTCTGGGGACCGCCCGGCTGCGGCAAAACCCTGGTTGCCAAAGCCGTCGCCAACGAATCCAAAGCCAACTTCATCTCCATCAAGGGCCCCGAGCTCCTCAACAAGTACGTCGGCGAATCCGAGCGCGCCGTCCGCCAGCTCTTCGCCCGCGCCAAGTCCTCCGCCCCTTGCATCCTCTTCTTCGACGAGATGGACGCCCTCGTGCCCAAGCGCGACGACTCCCTCTCCGACGCCTCCGCCCGCGTCGTCAACACCCTCCTCACCGAGCTCGACGGCGTCGGAGACCGCTCCGGCATCTACGTCATCGGCGCGACCAACCGCCCCGACATCATCGACGAAGCCATCCGTCGCCCCGGCCGTCTCGGCACGAGCATCTACGTCGGCCTGCCCTCGGCCGACGACCGCGTGGACATCCTCAAGACGCTCTACCGCAACACGATCGGCAAGGCCAGGGAGCACGCCATCGACTACGCCGAGCTCGAGAAGGTCGCCAAGGACATGCGCTGCACTGGCTTCTCCGGCGCAGACCTGGGTAACCTCATGCAAGCCGCCGCCCAGGCTTGTTTGGAGCGGGCCTATCTGCACCACCGCACGGGCGGTATGGAGGGTGTGGAAATGGATCCGGTCATTGAGATAGGCGATTGGGAGGCCGCATTGAATGAGGTGAAGCCCTCTGTGAAGGACCCGCACATGTATGAAGACATCCGGTAGGCTTGTATCTCGAACTGAGAAGACATATTTGGGGTTGGAAGGGGGCATTGAAAAGGGGAAAGAGGACCGTATCTGGCATTTTAGAGGCGTGGTTAGCATCATGGGCGGCCTGCTTGGGATGCGATAGGGGTGTTTTCATGAATACTAGAAACCCCTCAAACATCTTGGGAGGCGTTGTGAGATGTTCGTGAGAAGTGGTTGTGCATCACCGAGGCATGTTTGGATGCTTCAGAGGCATCGCTGAATTGTTATACAAGTGCATTGGGTTCGCGGGCCCTCTGTTTTGCTGCCGATGAATGTGAGAAGTCGCCCAGGATATTCCATTTCTCTCCTCAAGGTGTTCCGTCATCTGTTCAATATGTATCAATAGCCAGGGGTTCCTCGGACCTGGAGAACTTCAGACGCTGCTGCATGATCCGATCTCATCCAGTTCTGTTCCTGGAGCTAAGGAGCTTCCGTCAGTACCTTAGCGCCTTGCTAGGGCCAACTCAAAAGCCCAAGACCAGCCAAGTCAAAGTCAATGCCAAACGCCATGCATTCATTTGGGTCAGCTCATTTGGGTCAGCTCATGATAAAAGAGGTGAGAATATTAGGACCAGCCGTCGACACAACGGTCTAAGTCTATGATACAAGGTAGTCGTGCCAATGATGCCGGTCGTCTAATGCAAAAGAGCCTTCCCTCTTTTTCCCGTAGTAATACAACAACGCCCCCTACTCCGTCCGCCTGCCCGCACCAACCCAGACGCTAAATTTTTATGCGGTAGACTCCTTGAGGAAGCTAGAGAGAGAGGTCAGCACACTCCCAGTTTGGAGCAATCAGAGAAAGAAAACATACGTGATGAGGTCGTTCCTGTCCTTGTCCTTCTTGAGGCCACCGAACG